GCTTTGGGCTGCTGCTCTGGCTCCAGCCTCACACCCATGATGCTGAGGACCCAGCCACAGCCTAAAGCGAAAGGGACTAGAGCGACCAGGTCGTCAAGCATGACTGCATCTTTGGGAAGGGCGAAGGAGACAGGAAAGAGGCCGTCGATCCTTAAGCCGCTCTGCACTGCTCAGCAGGACATGTGCTGAGTGGACCGTATCTGTGGCTTACCACCAGAGGTCACAACCAAGGGCAGGGCAGTTGAAAGTTCAACGTTAGCTGTCTCTTTAGACAATGCAGGCATAGCTTTCACATTGTGAGGCACTAAAGAGGTAGATAATTCACAGCAGATGATATCTGCTATTAAACATGCCATTACATCAAACATGTATGGGTTTCTAAATTGTCTTTATGCATGGAAAAAACAAATTGGTCGGTCAATGCCAGTTCAAAATTACAGACTGGACCTAACAATACAATGTTTCCTAGAAGCTCTGAAATGCTTACATATTAAAAATGATCTTTATATTGTTTAAATATAAATTTGATACAGTGTGGCTATGGCACTCTGGGACTACAGAGTCTCCGTTAAACTTCTGATGGTCATTAATGTTCAACAGCCTTTAATGAATGTCAGAAGTTAAATGGAGGTTATTGACAAATTGAATAAACATATTTGAAACTACAAAGATGGAAGTAGAAAGTTTGTGTTTACAATTGTTTTGGTCGGGTAACACTGACAACTTATCCCAGCATTCTCACCTAAATTTGGTTCTTGATGATCCAGACAGACCCAACGGCTTTTCTAGGTAGTGACAAATAGAGAAACATGAATACATTCAGCTGACGTGTGTCTAGCCAGATAATTCTCAGTTGTAAGTCCCTCTCACATGCTCTTATTTAATTATAATTTTGTGTGTGCTTTTTTACCCCAGCCGTTCTGCAACACTGGCTATGCACTTTAAATATGATTCAACCAATATTAACTCTGAAATCTTATCCTCATGTCATAGGAGTGAGCTGTATTTTAAAAGAAGAAAAAAGTGAGCTGTATTTTCATGTGGTGAGGAGGCCTCTGCCAACTTGGATGCTAATCCCCAGGCCAATGGTTTGGAAATCATCATCGCTACATATTAAGAAGCTGCCTAATAAAGCTAAAACTAAGGAGGCTACGAACCTGATAGATGGTTTTATTTGGCAAGTGCAGTGGAAACCTATTTATGGCTTGCAACAGACGCAGTTGTGTGTGCATGCAAGCTAAATGAGGAGCTAATATTTTGATACACGTCTTAAATGATGGCTTTTCTGTTTGCCTAACATGTTCCCCATATCCTTTGGTAACTTATTTAGAATCGAAAGTGTGGCAATGTGGCGTGGTGGTGGGACAGGAGGCAGCCAGAGGTTTCTGGTTTTGGAGCTGCTACTTATGGGGTGACCCCGCTGGGACATCGTACATTCCGCTGGGTTAGAGAGCCTATCCAAAAACCACAGATAATAGAGAGGGAAGTCAGCGCAGACTAAAATCAACTGAATATATGCATTAGGATGCATATTCATAACTCTGCCCTTTATGGTGATAAAAGCGGCCCATTTATACGCCTTTTATCGAATAAAAAAAATCCTCCGAGATGTTCCCAAAGGAGGGAAAAAGGTCTGCATTGCCCACACAAGCAAACTATGGCTCAAACATTATCTGCTGGGCTCAAGATTCTGCATCCTGCCTCCAGGTCTCACGGGAGAATGCTGGAATCTCTAGCTCAATGATAGGGTTCCAATAAACAATGAATCACGCTGCTCTGAGCAAGCGTGAAAGAGAGCTGTTGCACAAAAAGAAAACTGAGCATGATTTAATGGACGTGGTGCAAAAGTACGGCACATTCCAAAGGGCTGATCTGAAAAATATTTAGAACAGAACTGCTAAAGTGTCTTCACACTCTGGGAAAAAGAATAGGCCTGCGACAAGAGCGTTCAAACAAGTAATGAGCATGACGCGTCAAATACAGAGTCAATGACGTCCCCTGAAAATGGCCTGTTTCCAGTAAGGATTGCACAAATGTGTCATTAAATGTGTCATTGAGTGGTTTTGTTGTTACTTGTTTTGGTTTATATTGCAACAGCAAACTAACATTTCAAACATTTCACTTAAGCTCAGTTAATTTACAGAAAATCGATGCAGATGAAACATACAGATTTTACACAATCTGAGTCTCTAAATAATAGATTGCATCACATTATCAGCAGTGACAAATAATAAATGAATAAACCTTATTTCTAAAAAAAACTACAGACTAGCAAAATTACATACCAGTACCCTTGTTTTAAAAAAAGGTCCAGCCTCCGCTTGTTAAATAACATTTGTGGCTAACTTTGAGACTGAACAATGCATCATTTGCCAGCTGTAGCTGACTCAAATAAGACACTTAAGAACAGGGTGTTTCACTTTAAATTCAGCTAACGTGAAATTAAACGTCAAATTAAACACTACAGCTTCTGCATGGCCAGTGTAACTCCTATTTGGAACAAGACAAACAACTTGTTTTCAACAGAATTTCACCATATAAATCATATCGTGCATGTAGAGTACGGCAGGCGCTCAACATTAGACGTCAACTGACCATATGGCATTGTATCATGTTTACTTCATTAGATTTAATACAAAAAAGTGAGCCTCTGTGTAATTAAAACAGATTCAGCATTGTTTGACAGGAAGAGAAGAAGAGATGGGGCTTACCCTAACAAACGAAGCAGCGCAATCTTCGGTCCTGGACCCAAAATATCCAGCTCAAGTCTTATTTACGTTCTTTCTTCCTTTGCTTTCAATGCTTCTCTCTACTTGGAGCTTCCTGGTGCTTTCTCCTCCTCGGGTAAAATGCCCTGTTTGAGGGGGAAGGGAAGAGAGGAAAAGTGTTTCGCTCAGTGATTCAGAAGCATGGTGTAAACGCCAGCCTTCTCTTTCTGACAACCAGCGTTAATTGCAGATCAGACTCGCCCACACACTCCAGACTCTCTCTATTCACTCTCTCCTGGAAGGAGCTGAGACCAGGCTGTGAGATTGGAGTGCTATGAACAGCACAGTGGGAGATGCTCTAACCCCCACCCTGCGTAACACCAATCACCACCTCTGGAGCTCGACTTCACCACGGCTGACATTATTTCACAAGAACGGCACAGGCATGGACAGACGCCCATGGGACGACGCACACTGACGGTGCGTCTGAGTGCATCGTATAGCATACGCTATAAATCTGTTGCGTTACACCCGATGAAGTGTAAACTACAGTCTACAGCAAGCCTATGGGAGAAATATTAAGAAACGGGCCTGAGAAAACTTTTACAGCTAAAGTGAACTCAGAGCTCAAGCTGGAAGATGCAAGAAGTCACATGTCTGTTAGAATGACGATTAAGGCGGTTGAGTCTAACCTGGAAATATTATTAGATACTGATTGCATCAACTAGATTAGCAGTGACTGTGGTCGAAAAGAGGAGTGATTTCAATGAAATTAATGAATTAAATAAAAAAAATAAACATAGCAGAAATAGCAGCGTCATGTACAGAAAAAAAAACAGTCAGTATCTAATGTAATGTCAGTATCTAGTAATACAGAAACCATACATAAACAAAAGATGCTTTATTAACAGAGCACAGCACGACACCAATTTCAAGTGTGATGTTGTGCTTTATCGAATTTGAAGAGGGGCATGTTGGGTGAACAGCATACAGAATATTAAAAGAATTCCTTCGCTGACTAATTCATTGTCGAGTGTGTAAACAGAAAGCTATTGAGTTTCCGTGTGATGTTTTCAGTGCTGACTTTGCACCCATGTTTAGTTTAGGCTTATTAAACTATAATGAAGTCGCACAGAAAGCCAGATGGAAAAAGTGTGATGGCATTATGCACTTGACTGGGATATTAATTCTTTACAATGTACCTTGGGCACGAGGGCAGCAAAACAAATTTAATTAAAACATATTTGAACATGGTTTGCAACAAAATAACTTCAGTGTGTGCTATAAGCACAGTTCATGAACCAACATTTCAGTCAGAGTGCACAGAGATCAAACAATCAAAAAGAATCAATTCTGACACCAAGGCTGATTAAATCCCTGTCCTTCACAAATACATACTTCATATTCACTTATGATATTATATAAAACTTGGGTCCAACTTTTATTAAGTGTCTTTAACTACTACTTACGTTAAAAAATAGTTTGGTACAACGGTCTTATTGTATTCATGTTGTACTGGAAAATACTTGTGCTGCTATTGAGGTGAAATATGTGTTATATGGATTCGCTGTATGGTTAGGTTTAAGGGTGAGTTAAAGAGTAGGGGTAGAGTGAACAGTGTAATTATAGATTTGATCATTATAGAATAATTACAGAAATGAATTACAGATGTAATTACACTTTTTACAGTATATAAATGTACATAATTTAGGAAACATACAATACATTTTTTATTGTATATCTCAAGCAAGCACTAAATAATCAATCATGTGCAAGATTTTTTTTTTTTTTTGGCACTTCATTTCCTATTATACCATCTCTCTGTGCAGCTTGAAATATCAAGCTAATCAATGAATCTATGGTGTGCTGGGCCCTGACTACTGGTTGTAAGCCTCTTAAAAGCCAAACAATCAGTGGGACAGACAAACATTCTTCCTGAGGTCATTTTCATGATGATGTACCGTGACCTGATTGCCTGCCTCGTGTGGCTCGTAATTACAATGCTTGTCAGACACAAGCAATGCGCAACCCTATGAACACATCCCCATTTAGCCTTTGACATTCGGACAACAGTTTGAGACATTGTGGCTTACTTTAGTATTGGTTTTTATCAATTTTATATATTTATATATTGATAATTATTTTAATTGTTAAATATTTATGACTGACATGCCTAAAACACTCTGTGAAGGTCAAAATGACATGTCATCTTGTAATATGGCATTTAAGGCGAGTCTAAGGCACTTTACCGATAACTAAATGGCGTGCTACAGGGCCATTAACAGAGGCATGTGTAATCTTACAAGCACAAGTACTACACTCTCTGCCTCTGGATGATTAGGCTGTTCCTTCACTGTGCAGGTCAAAGTCAGCAGCTCTTACAGAAAGGAAAAAAAGGATTTACAATGAATGCTTGTTGTACATAAAGGTAACGCATTTAAAGCACTACATTTTTTTATTTAACCTTCTTTTAGTTTGTCTCTGTCCAAAAGTAAAGTAAATACTAAAGCTAACATTTTAAACAAGCATTTATTAAGGTGCTGAGACAAATACCAAACTATTAATTCAATACAATGAGTTTTAAATTTCATAAAGTGAAACAGTATTAGTCTAGTTTTGTTTTTGTTTTTTTACTAATAACAGTGAATGACCCCATTGTTGGTTAATGGCCAAACTAAACATGAATGAAATTAAAATTAGATTTAATTGAATAACTTTAATGCAGTAATGACCTTGCATGTGAGTCACAATCATGTACCACACAATAGCTAGACTAGTTTGTAACAAGACCTTGTGACTTCAAGAATAACATTAAATCACAACTGAAATTAATATGCTATTATAAAATAATTGATGGCATCAATTTACACTTGTCTCAGTTTATTCACTAACATACAGTATAGAGACTCCAATAAACCCTGCGAAGCTTCACCAATGTGACACTTCGTGCTGTTACTGGTGTTAATTATCCAAAGCTCTGCAAGAGACCAACACCATCTAGATTTCACAGAGAAAACTATCTGCAATCACTTCCAAATTTCAAAATCATTCTCGAAGTTCGGCATAATAAAAGATCAATAACTTTCCATAATATTCATAAAGTGGTCGGACGTGCTTTAGATGGCTACGGAGATAATATCCTACATTTTAACCCTGTTGACTGTGCGTGTTTTAATGTGTCTTAAAATGTAAAACATTTACTCATCCCTAATTATAGTGTCCGAAGTACAGTAAATTAGTATATCTAGTTGTCTCTGCTAGTTTGGATGTCTTAAATAACTGTTCCGTCCAAAAAGCAAGACAGAATGCAATAAATGTCTGTCTTGCAACTTCAACCAGTCTTCGAAAACAAAACAAAGTACAGAAATATCATGTCCTGAAGTTGATCTTGCCCTGTTCTGAAGTTCTGAACATCTGCAGATGACCCTCTTCAACCATATTCAGAAGCGAAAGCTTAACGGTTTGCAAAGTATATCCACACAAATTCTAACTTTACAGTAAATATCTGCTGGCTTTCCTGACTAATATCTGTCGTTTTCAATCGCCCCTCCATAAATATTTAACACCGCCCGGAAAATAATGATGCGAGACTAGAGCGCAACATTTGCCAAATGTCAAAGTGGACTGAACCCAAAACCACGCACGAGCTCTTCTTCACAGAGAATTACGAGCACGATAAACATTGCTGTCCTTCAGTCTGGAGCTCGCGACTCGGCAACAAACACATCCAAACGTGTTGCCGACCACTGAGACACACATATGACAACCATATTTAGCTTCCCAAACGAACTGTAACGCGTTTAATTTGCGCTCATCCAGTCTCACTCCACGACTCCCTCCTCTCTCTCGGACTCCGCTGCTGTGTAACATTGTTGCTATTTTTGCGACTCACCTTTTTTTCTTCGCGGTCCCCCTCGCTGTATATAGATACTGTGTATCAGTGACTCCCGTGGATACACTGTGACATAAATGTATTTTCAGTCACATTGACACACGGCTTCTATTTTCGGGAGCTGAGCTGACAAACTCAGAAGAAGCAGCAGTCGCTCTTGTCACAACATAAGCTCCTCCCCCAATATGACGAACACTAGACGGAGTCAACCTCCTACGGCAAGCCCTTTTAACATATATTCTTTAAAACTAAGTGTCCATCGCCACATTACCGTTACTTGTTTTTTAAGGTATGAAATAATTACTAGGTTATTTTTCAATTTCACTAGTAACTATCCCTATTAGCCATACCAGGTTACTGGAATCTATAGCTCTACTAGTACTTATTTATTAGATAGTAGACCTACTGTACTTATTTTTAAGACACTGGTGCAAATTCCACATGTTAATAGTCATTACTATCTCCCTATGTACAACTGCATTTTTAATTATATTTTATGCAATGACTAGTCAAACAAATTAATTTATAGATTGGTTAGAAATCGTATTAGCAAAGTTAGAAATCAGAATTATCACAATGCATATTAGTGTCTAATAAATAGGTACTAATTTATATTTAATTGCTACTAAGAAAACTGGAATACTAGTAGGCCTAATGCCCCATTCACACCAAGAACAATAACTATAAAGATAAAGATATTAGCATCCACAACAGCACATATCATCTCTTTAAGCACACGCTCGTCTGCCCCTTTAAGTTCTCGAGCTCGTTATAGCAGGATGGATTCTGATTGGGTGTCAATGTTTGTATCATTCATCAGCTGGAAAAAAAATCTATTTTTAGAACTATATCTTTATTATTATCTTTATAGTTATCGTCCTTGGTGTGAGCAGGCCTTAACTATAGAATACAAGTAGACTACTAAAAGTACTAGTTACTAGCTCTAGTTCCTAAAGAAGTAATTTTACTTATCTAGTCAAACAGACTACTTTATAGACCGATTTGAATCTTATAAGTAAAGTTGGACATTTTATAAGTAATTATACGAATGCATATTAGTGTCTAATAAATAGGTACTAATGTCTATTTAATTGCTAATATTAAAAAACTGAAATACTAGTAGGCTTAACTATTGGAGTAACTAAGACATACTAGTCCATAAAGTAGTTACAACTAAAACTGGGAAAGGTGCCACCAATACTTGAAAACAGAGGCTATTAGTTAGAAGTGCACAGTCACTATCTAAACCACAGAGTTCAATGGGAAAAACATTTTTCAGGATAGTGGCTAGTAGCCAAAAAAGGTCAAACTATTGGTCACTACTGGATTACTTCGTAGTTATTACCGACATTTAACAGTTTAACAATTAACAATTAAACAGATTCTAATACTATGTAGTCTTAAGAAATAATTGTTATTATAGCTTGCCATAAAACACCGCCTCCTCAACCTCCACGTCCTATAGTATACTCTACTCGTGTTCAGTTTAAAAACAAATATTAAAAACTCAAGAACAGCGACTTAAACATGATTAAAACAACACGATAGAACTTCGATACTGTGTTTTTGCCAAAGGTAAAAAGCGGCACACCAAGTAAGCACACGAAATGAAGTGAGAACGGAAACGGCTCGCTAATCGCCACACCATGACATCACCGTGTTTAACAGTTTGAAAAAGCGAGGAAACAACGCGAATAGCCAACTATATGTGCATGTCATCGAATCGAGGAAGTGACAGGCCCTGTGCGCAACAAGTTAACAAAGACGTCACTGTTGAGTAAAATCCTCCACAGCAACGATTACTGGCTGCCTGCTAAAAGCCCGATACGTCCAGAGCCATTTTAATATTTATTATGGTTGTTAGACTGGCACTACCTTAGATACGATTGACGTAAGTTCTATAAAACAACAGTAACAATAGGGTCAGTGCTTTTGAAGTGACATGTTTCTCATCCAATCGAATCCATCAGCGACTTGTCAGTGACCAATCAGAGAAAAGAGGTTGGCTGCGTTTTACGTTGGATGTGGCAGTGTCACGTGTAGTTGTAGGATCTGTGGAAGAGGTGTGGTACTGAACGGGAGTTGTTTTTGCTGGGACTTAAGGAAATTTGTATTACCACCGTTTTACCACATGTGAAATGGGACACGCAGGAGATCAAAGGAATTACAACATGTTAAAACAATGCAAAATGGTTATACAGAGACCAGTAAATAAAACAAAACAGAATGAGGGCTTCATAAATGATTTACATTTATAAAATTGTTTGTTTTACTTTGAAACACTACATTAGGCCTATCTTAATACTAAAATACGGTGAGAGTGTCATCATTTTCATAACTTTCTAATCCACAGTACAGTTAACTTGTGCAACAATACAGATAAATTCACCAGGTGATTACTAATACACAATGACCTCAATATCCAGTGTTTACGCACTTTCAAATTGCACCTGGACATAAATCTTGAAGGTAAATATGAGCAATCATGGATTGCATGGATGCACTTTATATTTCATCTTAAGAACATCTTTTAACTTTTTTTTTTTTGCACTTGAGTAAATGTATTGATATTTTAGCAGAATTTTAGAATGTTAAGATAAAGTAACAAATCTTTTCCTTGCTGATCCTTCTTTACGACGTCTGAAAATGTAAAAATGTTAAAGTACTTCATTATTCAGTTTCTTAAGACAAGAACCAGTGCCACATGAAATAAACTACAATAGAAGATATAGCCATAGAATCCACAGCAAACTCACGTAATCCCTGGAAAATGGCTATGGATATTGATGAAATCCCTGATTATGTGCCCTCTGTGACTTCACATTTTTTCACATTCTATTTGAAGCCTTGTAAAGCTGGAGCTGTACATAAAAATAGTCCCATCAGGGCAAGGCACATACTCCGGATCCCCTGTGCAAACACCCATTGGCACCAGAACCCTAACGAACCACACTGAACCCTCAGCTACCTGTGGTCTAGAGATTAGCTAGAAAGAAACACAAATTGTTCTTCTTGCATCAAATGTAGTCTTTAATCAGCTGTAACTGAAAATACTGTAGATAACAGCCAGTAAGCAGAGTGAAAGGATTATGAAATAAAAAATATATATATATTTTTAAGTTTAAGTTTACAGCAATTCAAAAAAAACTGAGCCCTTGAAGGGGATTTCTTTAAATAATATAATGAAATGTGGTGCAGGTATAGCTGCAACTGAAATATTACCATATATATTCATATACTTCAGTATTGAACCAAAAGTAGCTGATTCCTTTAAAAGATCCTCCTAGAAAATCGGTTTCCTCTATGCACAGTTTCAATTTTATTCAAGCAAAATGAAACTGGTGCAATCCTGCAAAAAAAGTTACAGTTTCGCTTTGATGATTTTAAGTGTAATTATGATGAAGAAAACAGAAAATATAAAGGAAACAAAATACAGATGGACATAATGATTATGTCCATCTTTATTCCATCATTCTATTACTTACCAATCACCAGCAGTCAGGTCATGTGTTAATGTTTTGTATACAATGCATCTTCCCCATTGCCCTTCCCCATCTGTGAATGGCTGTGTGTCTCACCTGTTTCTTGCGATGATCGATTACCTTCACAGAACCTGCTGCTAAGGCCTTCCTCAGGTATCTTTCTCAGGTGTGCCACTCTTACTTTCTTAATTTCCCTGGTATTACTTGAATTTTCTCTCTCGTTCTCTGTCTCTCTTTCTGTCTGGCTTCCTCTCTCACGTTCACTCTTTCTCTCTTTTGCTTTCTATCTCCCTTGCATTCCTCAAAGCCAGACCAGCTGGCTTTGGACGGCTTTCTTCTTGCTCCTGTAAGGCCTGACTTCACACTCTTGTCCCTGGGTCTTTCTGCCGGAAGGGAGCTGGGCAACAGAAGTTTGAAGGGTAGGATCCCAGATGGACACTGACATGCTGGGCATGCGTGTATGTGACAGGGCTTGGCTCAGGGGAGTGGTGGACCAGCCACAGATGTCACTCACCAATACTGAGGGTGTTAGATGTGTTTTGTGTTGTTATTATTATTAATAAAAGTAAAAAATTGTGCTGATCGGAGAACAACAATGCCTGACTGTTCACAAGAGATGGAAGAAAGAAGGAAAGAATTCCCTGTTGGTTCGCTTTCTCATAATAAAGACTTGCCAGCGCCGGCACCAATATTTCAAAGTGTCATTCTTTTTGCCAGTAGAAATCATCTAAACGTGAACCATGAACATTTGAGCACAATTTCAATAGTATATTGACAAAGTTTTGGATTCAACAGAGTAGTGAAAAATAAGCCAGCTGAAGCACTTATATTTCCCTGCCAGCTGAAGTTAAAGTATTGTATCGATAGGTCATAAAGACCCAGAGAATTGCAGTGGGGTTTATAAAACATACTCAAATAGAAGACAGCTGACATTTTCAGCATTGTACCAGACCACAAATAGCTCCAGACTGCTTAGATACTACGCCACCAATTAAATAAAGGATCTTATAATATCGCTCATATAACAGACTATTAGACCACCATAGTCAAGTTAGAATTTCTGTCTGAACTTTCTTTTTGAAGAACAACAGACTCATTGGACTCATAAACACACTGAAGGTCATTGTTTTGACAGCAGATTCTTGATTAATACATCATTACAATTAGAACTAGCCAGAATTAAACTAGCCAAACTCTTTCAAATATCCCGCTCATTGTCCACAGTTCCTAGCAAATGTTTCTCAGTGTTAAGTATTATCTGACCTTATCCAAAAATACTGAAGACAATACAATATTCATATATTATGTAAAAGAGCATCTCGCTACAATAGTTAACACGTGTTAATGCACTAGGTATCGTCTAGGTTAATGTTCAGTTATATAAACCAATACATTTTAGCATTTCAAGTTATACAAATGAACATTAGTTATTAGAAATTAACATGAGTGAGTAATGAAAAATAGTATAAATGAACATAACCTAGACAAAAAATGCTGAAAAAACTCATTTACTAATGGTATGAACTGAACCTTATAGTGAAGTGTTAATATAACACCATTCTTCATACGTTTTTTACAATTTTCACCATCCACACACTTGTTGAAATGATCAGCAGACAGAGCCTAAAGGTAGGATGACAAAATAAAGAGAGGAACTGGAATAGCGCAAAAGTACATCAGTATGTCTCTGTGCAGATTGAGTCTGTGCATTAGATAACTTTGCAGAGGCTCTAAAAATACCCTGTGTCTCACAGTCTGGCTCTGTTCTCTCATTACCGCACATAATTAACACTGAGCATGCCCTGCCAGCACTGAGTAGTGCAGCACTGCACACAACTGTCACATACTCATGCATCTATGTAACATATCTAATCAAAACCTCAGAAGTTTTCACCAACTACTTTTTCTCCTTTCGTTCACTCTAAAGTAACTAATATCTGAGCTCATAATTATACACCCTGACACTCTCACAACTTTTATTTTCCATTTTTTACCTCACAACTTATAAATGTAGTAGGTTAGTGTATCCTTCAAATCGTCTCGGTTTCAATGACTTACAGACAGCTGCTTCCAGAGACAATAAAAGCCCTTTAATTTGCCCACCATTTGTTGAAGTTACTGTACAGCACCATTTATAAGAGAGAGAGAGAGAAAGAGCCATTTTGTACGAGCCGTTGCGAGTTCATTAAAAATTGAGCAAGGTCAGAAATGAAACCATTCCTCCCATTTTTCATTCAGTCCTTAATATCAGGAATCATTTAATTAATCTCGCAAAATGGCCTCAAATTAATTTACTTTGACACATAGCTGTCGGGTAACTTGACTAGAGATCTACTTGATAAACAAGATTGAAACTGAGGCGCATCAACAGAAATGATCTCTTGTTAAACTACGTAAGGTTCTAGAGATTTGTATCTCTTTTTTTAACTCCCACAAAAAAGTCTACCAATGTTAATCTGTTCACTTAGAGTTGTTAAATGCAATAAAACTGACCTAATAATTATATTACCACATACATGCTTTCAGGTTTTCCAAACCACTTGTTTGTTATTTTCAGATCCTATCTAATCTCCAAAATACAATGTGTAATAAATCATTCATGTTTGCCTTGACACAGCCTTCATGATAATGTTTTGGCCTGATGGCCTCTGCTTGTATTCAAGTGCCCTCTATCTAATGCAGCCTGTTATCAAGCAAAAATATTGAACACCTTTCTCTAAAAAAGAAAAACAAAAAGTGTAATAGGAACAATCAATATCCTTGTGCACTTTACAGTACCTTAAGTTAGGACAGTAAGATAGACACCATAAAAAGCATTTGATCAATAAGGCCAAACACAGAACTAAAACACAGAGGCTTTTATCACTTCACAAAGGCCTTGTACTGAAATCATTAACACACAACCAAAGAGTTTCCAGAGAAGATGTTCATTGAACACCTGACACAAGTACTGTACATCCCTTACCACTCAACCTCACTGCAAAACTGTCATGGCATACTAAGAATAGATACAGCCAAAGGGGCAGTTTAACCAATTAGAAATTATTTACAAGGGAAAATCACAATTATATGTGACCAACACCCTGCTGGGATAACCAATAGAAGTCTTTGTGTTAAATTATACTGCCACAAGACAATATTATTATTATTATTACTTAAAACTACCATTTTATTCCTGAGTTGGGAAAACTGGATTTTTAGCAGCAATTACTCTTCAGTCACATGATCATCTGAAAGCATTGTAATATGGTGAACTGCTCAACTTATCACAGTGGAAACCACTGAAATGTTTTTTTTTTCCTCATGGTTCTTTGATGAAAAGAAAGTATAAAGTTACGATCTTTCCTGTAACTTTTGATAATTTTAATACATCCTTGCTATTTAAAGCACAAACACAAAGATGTTGAAACAAAATGTGTTAAAACACTCCTCCAACTATTAAACTCTAGAGCACAAACCAAACTAAAGTTTCTGTTTGCTTTACACCTGAAGCATCCCAACATGCTCATGCTGATGCACGTCTAAAAGTCGTGTAAAATGCAGAAAGGCAGATCCCCAGGGGAAACTCCCATGTGATTTTCACTGCTCTTATAACCTGACTATAATCACTGTGGCTTTGTCTGCAAAAGGAAAGATCTGTGGATTCACTTGTCTACATTCCAGATGTTAAACCCAGAAGTAATACATCAAATAACCACACTGAAAAGCATAGAGCTCCAGTAACACTTTCCCAAAGACAATACATCAGCAAATATAACACTGTGGAGTTACAGAAAAAAAAAACACTCTGCGATTTGAGATGATGTAAAAGTGATCATTCTTGTGTTACATATCACAACACTGTCTTAAAAAAATCTAGACCAATGCTTTACATTTTTTCTACTCCTTGGAGCTGAATGTGCATAATGCTGCAGAATATGAATTGTGATAAGCTCATAAAGAGAGTTTACATTAGTTTTTTTCCCCCTTGTTTTGGGATTAGAGAGGTAAGCTTTTGTTTTATTAACCTCCTTCATTTAAAACAGCCAGTTGCAATCAGGCAATTTGACTCATACCACAGACCATTCCTCTCATTGCCAACCTAATCCATGAAAAGGACTTATGTATTCATGTCTTACAAATGTGCTTGAGTAAAATCCTTTGGCAAGAGCGAGGCGGCAGAAGAAAGAGCCCTCTGTGCTGTAATAAGCCCTTGAAATTAACCAGCCTCGTAAATGCTTTGTCTCTCGCACTCAACGAGCATCCCTACGGCAAGCGTGAAGTTTAGCAATTGTCCTCCCTCGCCGTTCCCATCCGTATTATTTTTTCTCCTCCGAGACAGACAGAAGGTGCTAGGGACATGTTGTTGTGCATCTCACACAGGTAATAAATTTGTGTGTCAGGCCTGCGTGTCACAGATTAAGCGTGTTTTGTTTGGGAATGATTTATGAGTGTGATGTCGGTGATGCACTTGGCAGTGAGGAGCTGAGCTTCTGATGATGGTGCTGCAGTAGCAGGTGGGGTGGGGTGGAGAAAGGAGAGGGGAGCGAAATGTCGGATTTGTATTACAGGAAGACTGATCTGTAGGTTCTCAGAGGATGCCTGCTGTAGCGCATACCTGTGTCATTAATCACGCCGAAGCCTCCGGGCCCCGTGCGCATGTGAGCCGCCCCGGCCCGTGGTGCACCTCCTCCACCTTTTCTCCACAGGCTCGTTCTACGTGTTGCCTGGAAACTGCAACAAAGTCTTCGGTCTGGTCTCGCCCTCTTTGGGTGTTTGGGAGCCCTTTACTTCTCCCTCAGGAAAGGGAGGCTCACTACGGTTTGTATATACTCTTCGCACACCAGGTTTGCGAGAATAACAGACGTGAGGTAAGGACTCTCTCCCTCTAGGTTTCCCTGAATCATGGACGACTAGCGGCGTTCTGAAGATCGGCCAGTATTCATCACTCTGCGCAAATAAATGGGAGAGTAAATTAGGCCTGAAAAGTTAATCAGCCGTGATTCAATCCAATCATTTCAGCCTCTTAAATTAATATTTCAAGCTGGTCGAAAGACAGACACATCTTCCTCCAACCTCACCACAAAAGCGTTGAGTTTTCTCATTTTATCAGAACTAGATATGGCATATTGTAAACTCAATAAGCTTGAATAGTTGGTTGGTATCTGGTGGCACTTTTATTTCAGACCCGGTTGGTTTTCTAGACTAGAGTGGCTTGAGATGCCCTCTTGTGTTTTCTGAGATTGCAAAACGGGTGGATGGGTGTCCTTGAGGCTGACATTGTTCATGGACCCACAAAGGAGGCCAATGTCATATGGCTAAGATATGAGCATGCTTTTTATATAATAAATGGTATGTGTTTTAAAACACCCAACACTTACCACTCTGGCTTGCATATAACTTTAAATAATTCATGTGTAAAATCCAATCTAATGCTAATTGAG